CAGCCTCCGGCAGAGTAGACAGAAACAAAAGTTTGTTTCGTTCTTCACAAAACACCTTGAAGGGTAAAACCTTCACTGCTGATGAGGATATCAGATCATTCTTGGAACTGTTTTTTGCTGAAAAAGATAAGAACTTTTTTGAGTATGGAATCATGAAGTTGCCTGAAAGATGGCAAAAGGTAATTGAACAAAATGGACAATACATTGTTTAATGAAGTTTGTTTCCTGTGAAAAAATTGCCTTTCATTTACTCAGAAAAAAACACACTTACTTTTTGGCCCACCCAGTACTTTGCTCAGAGAATCTGCGTCCTCTGTGAACATTCTGCTTTCAGCTCTCCTGCTGATAACTGGTGGTTTTTGCTATGGCCAGCACTGCTGCAGACCTACAAACATTTGTGTCACTTTCCAAAAGTGGGATTTTTGTTTTCATACCTGTTTTCCCCACTTAGTCGTTCTGGCACCAAGAGGAACAGAAAAGGGGAATATGGCATGTCTCATGTCTTTAATGACAGAAGCAAAACAATCTTCTCTTTTCTATTGCTGTAATTTCTAAGACAATTTTAAATGTTTATTGGCTGCAATTCACTGGCTCCAAAAAACTTTGACAATGTGCCTGGTTGTTGTTGACATGGAAAGCTATGCCGTAGCTAGGGAATTGTTCTGTTGGAGTCTCGACTGTAGTCTTTGAGATTTCGTGAACTTAGGACTATAGCTGAGGCTCCTGTGTGGAGCAGACACTTAGAATTTTTTATATTTGTCATTTTATGTATTTGACTAAGAATTCTAGGGCAATATCATACATCCTTTGAACCTGTTAGTCTAATAAATACTAATAGTATAGAAAGTACAGACTGGAGGAAGATCATCTGTTTTGGTTCACTTCAGACTTAAAACTATCTCTATAAAAATACTTAAGAATTCATTGTCACTGTGCCCTTTGGCACTTGGACAGCCTTTTTTGAAGGATGACTGAAAAGGATAAGGTTTCTACTTCCTCATGTCATTGTCTTTGATGAGATAAATATGACTGATAAAGTTTAGGCAGTCCGTGATTTTTGATAGCAAGTCTTGAATATTGTATTCCGCAGTGAACTCTACCCTGTTCTTTAATTTCTTCTGTTCATACATGACTTTCCTGCAGTATTTAAATGATGTCCTGGACTTCAGACTTCTCATGAATAAGATATTTCTTGGTTGCCTAGAAGACCCATTGTTACTTTGTGAAAATAGAATATATTATCCAGAATTTCAAATTTAGGAAAATTGATTCCATGTCAATTATCTTACTGCTACAAAAAAGAAGTTGATTAATATATTTTAATTTGCAATAGTCTTGCTTAAGTTAGGTTTTTAATTTAGGTTAGGATTTTAGAATTTTACCTGCTGTTTTGGATCTTGTACTGGAGTTGAAAACGTGGCCTTTCCCACAAATCCATGAAGGTACATCTGTTACAGCTGTACTGCATTTGAAGACTTAGCACTGTTTTTTTTTATTCTCTGATCTTAGAAACATGAGATTTCTGATACATTTTGATTTCTTTATCCTCCCCCTTCCTTCCTTTTTCAGCTGTCCCCTAGACTATTCTAGAATTCCTCTTGACATCATTGATGAATCTGTTCTCAAATGTGTAGTCACCTGCTTACTTTTCCACTCTTCAGGGAAACCGTGTTCTGGGATGGCAAACACCTTAGGCAGGTGGGCAGGAGAGTCTCTAGTCTTGATGACTATATGACCTTGCCAGTACACCTTATCTGAGGAGGATTTCTCAGTTTACTGTAAATCAGTTTTTCTTCAAAAGCTTATGGGTCCTAAATTAAGCTTGCCGTAACACCTAGGAAATCAAGTATGTGGTCTTCAGTGATGCGATCAGACCTCTTGGAAGGATTCTTATGTGGTCTTGTCTGGAGCTGAGAACTGAGAGATCCACTAACCTGACATGCTGGGTAGAAAACTGAGTGCCTTTTAGGGAGAACAGAAAGAGAAACTTTCTGCAGTTGTGAAGGCATGTTCCAGGAGAAATTAAATGATACTACAGCTTTGTGCAGAGTGTTCTTGAGAACTGCAGGGATTTATTCCATTGGAGTTGTTCATGATTCTAGAAGCCATGCTGTCTCTAGGAGGCAGTTCTTACTGAATTAGTGATGCCGGGATCCCTTGAGACACTCAGTGGTTTTGGAGGGAGTACTGCCTTAATTCATGTTAGTTCAGTTCCCTTCACCTGATCTTCGAGCTGCATTATCTTGGCATACGTTTTACCACATGTATGCTCTCTTTCATGGTGCAATGCTCAAGTAATTTCTAGACATGCTGAGCTACAGATGACCTAATGGTGTAAGATATGCATTGCTCTTCTAGAGCAGCAAGTATCTGTGAATGAACACAAAGGGAATGTATGTATGGATGCTACTAAGGCAAAATGTTCTCTGGCCTCAAGTATATAGACATGGGTACTTAGAGTGTGAGTGCATTTGCAGACCACGTTGTCTTGAGGAGCAAGTAATGTGTTCCTGCTCCCTTTCATGTGTTTCTTTTCAGGAACGCTCTGAATTCTTCTTTCTAGTGAGTTCATTTTATTACTTGCCCAGTTAATTCTGCTTGAATTTTCTATTGGCAAATCTACACTTGCTAATTAAATAGTAATTTTACTGAGCTATACTGAGTTCCTGGATATTACACTGTTTTATTTTCAAGAAGATGAGGAAGTTGAAGATCTGGCTGTTGAAGATCTGGAAGTTGAAGTTTGGCTTTCCACCAAAGATAACAGCACATAAGCAATTTACACACTGCATTTTCTTGTATACATATGCAGAGGTTTCATGTCTGTGGTGCTCTTGTTTAGTAGTTTTGTAACAGCTCTTTGTGGTGTTGTGTTGTTAAGGTGCAGAGGGATCAACATTGATGTCATACTTTTCAAAAAACCAAATACGGGCCCTGAAGCCAAAAATAACATTCAGCACATTAAGGGACTTGCAGTGTCCGGTGTTGCAAAGTGATGAACTGCAAGGAAAGCCAGAGGAGTCCTGCAGTACAGAGGAACTGTTTGAATGGCTAGGTGCTGTCTTGAATCAAGTTAGCTTGTAAGTATTTGAATTTATTTGATCTTTAAATACGTTTTAAGTAAGGAAAGGCACAATTTATTTTAAGGAAGAGCTAAATAAGAAGAAAGACTTTTTTCCATTTCTGTGAGTGGGAAGTCTGCTATGCATTTAAGTGTTTGTTTTAAGTCTTGAATAACTCCTCTGTGTTTTCGGATGTACCCATGTGTACTGGTGCTTGTGTGGTGCTGTGTTTTAGATTTGTGACCAAAACAGTGTTGATAACACAGCGATGTTTTAGCTGTGGCTGAGCAGTGCTTACACAGTGTTAAGGCCTTTGCTGTTTTTCATGCTGCCCTGCCAATGAGTAGGCTGGGAGGGAACACAGCCATGAGAGCAGGCCCCAGCTGCCCAGTGGGATATCCCACACCATATGGTGGGATACTCAGCAATAAAATCTAGGGGAAAGAAGGTGGCTGGGGGGAGTGTTTGGAGTTACAGCATTTGTTTTTCCAAGTCACAGTTACACTTGATGAAGCCCTGCTTTCCTGGAGATGGCTAAACATCTGCCTGTGTTGCAAAGTAGTAAACAGATTCCTTAGTTTGCTTTGCTTTCATGTGTAACTTTTGCTCTACCTATTAAATTGTCTTTATCTCAGCCCACAGATGGTCTCATTTTTATGCTTCTGATTCTCTCCCTCATCCCACTGGGGAGTGAGTGAGTGACTGTGTCGTGCTTAGGTGCTTACCAGGATTAACCTGCAGCACTACGACAGCTTGTGTATTAATTGCTTGGCCATTAGTTACTTCGGTATTAATTTAGTTTCTGTAGGTAGATTCTGGTTGTTAGGTACAAGTTTTGATTACTATGACTTATTGTAGAAGGTTCAAAGTATATTTATTTTAGTTGTTTTGTTTGTTTGTTCTTCCAGAGACAACAATTCATCAAGCTTCTTATCAACCTATTGCTGTCCTCAGCCCAACACAGTGGTGGAAAAAGCCTTTTTGTGCACAATCACAGGTTTTATAATCCCTGAGAAGATAATTCAGTTATTGGAGCAGCTCTGGTAAGGGCTGACAGGGTCACATTATTAGAACATTCATACTCTTATAACTTTTAAATTTTCAGAATCACTTTTAAGTACTTTTCCATAGTGCTGTTGGAGGTAAATAGTAAAATACACAAAATGAAGACTTTTAATTAGGAAATGAGCTGAAAGCTTAACATTGGTATAAAAAAAGGCCATAAACAGTTTGGATATTCCAAATCTGAGAATGCCTGCCCTGTATTCGAGTAATGACTTTGCTTGTTATTTTAATTTCTAATAAACAGAGGCTCTACTGAGCTCCACATTTTTCACATTTCCCCTATGAAAATCAGATGCCCTCAAATGTCTGCTGTAGTATTTTTAACTACTGATGGAAAGTATGATTGAAATCCCTTTATGATACCAAAAAGATATTACAAGGCACTTCAAGGTTATTTTGCCATTACAATAAATTAATTTACAGTGATTTTTTTTGAATCAACTGTTGTAACATAGGATACTGTATAGTGGTGACCAGGGTGGCTGCAGTTCTAAAACAGTACCAAACAACATGCTACTAGTGTCTCATGGATCAGTGTAGTATCTGTCTGTATTGTATATTAGTGCTAATGACTGCAAATTCTGGAAGCTCCCTGCTCCATGTGTGAGACAGTTCTTAAAGTGCCTGGTGGATAACAGTTGTAACACTGACTCACAACAATATTGCTACTGCTTTATCTGGAATATGATCATTACATTTTCAAATCTCATGCAGAAAGTCTCCCAAGGCTGGGGTTGGAACACAAATTTCCTTGGCTTTTATTCTCTACTTTAAAGAGCAGTGGGTAATGTCTGGCTTTGATTATTTGTAATCCATTTCCTTTCTGGTGGTAAAAGTATTTGTGTCAAGTATAGTCTGACTGTGTCTTCCTCCCGTGACTATTTTTGCCCTGATAGCAACTGTTGTTAGTAAATGTTCTATTTTCTGAAGATTAATGCATGCTGTAGTGTATTCAGAACAGCTACTTTACAGCTTAGAGCTTTTTCTAATTGCCATAACTTGCAGGTTTGTCATGTCTAAATGTATGGTAGGAATAATCAAGTGCCAATCTTCTTTCATTTCCTAATGTCTTCTGATAGAGGTTTTCTTTTTTTTGAATTTATTTATTATGTACTAAAGCAGGTTTTTTAACTGTTAATTACAAATTTTCACTAAAGTGTCTGTGTTTGATTTTTTTTTTTCTTACCTTATATTGTATACTTGAACACGCTGTCTAGTCCATTTTAATTATTGATGTTCTTGTCTTTTCCTTGCAGGTGCTATTTTGATGAACCGAAACTGGCGTATTGGCTGACCTTAACTGTGCATGGCTTTGCAGACAGTCCTGTTTCCTGGAGAGAAAGTGAACATGGTTTCCACAAGGGAGGAGAGAACTTGTACAACTTCGTCATTTTTAGAAACCTGGACTACTGGCTTCACATGGCTGTAGGAGCTAATGATGATTGTCCTCCATAAAGCTATGTCTACAGAAGAAGTTTTCTAATAATCCCATGTTACTGTATAGAAACCTAATAAGATAGTTTTTATAAAAGTAATTAGGTAACAAGTTAAGTACTAAGAGCCTGTATATGTTTTTCCATTATTTATAGCCCTTAAAGGATGACCTACAGTGGAAGGAATGGCTTTTTGTTTCTTCATTGTCATACAGTGCCTTCTGAAAGACTTCACAATTCTAGCTTTAAGAAGAATGTATTTTTGGGGAGTTTAAGTTCTCAGGAGTTGACTGTAGGTGGTTTCCTTTTATCCAGGAGTATTTTTGGTATTTGGAAGTTAGTTTTACAGGTCGCTAGCTAAAATATTTGGGAGGAAAGCTCATATTGGGATTTAGTGTTTTCTTTCTTTATGTTAAAGAACTGTAAAACCTTCAGATTAATATTTAAGACATTACAGCTTACACGCTGACAAATAAAAAAAAAACAACACAGAGATAGAGTTCTCCGTAATTGGTAGCAGAGAGGAAAAAAGGTGAGAAGGTGGTACATGACAGTAGGAGGAGCACCCATTGAACATGGAAAAAATAAAGGCTTACTGACCTGCTTTTTGGTTTTTGCAGATCACCGTTGATTTAAACTGTGATGCAAAAGGCTGCTGCTTGCTTTCTTAATTGACTTCCACATGCACTCACACCCCAAATCTCTACTTTTAGAAGTAGCTTGTGGTTCTTGCTTACAGGACAACTCACGGAGCTGAAATTTCACTGTCACATTATTGCAGACACATTTCTGGGAAGAATGCTATGGACATCCCCTCAAAGAGCACAGCTGAACTGAAACAGGTTTTGTTAACAAAAAGCAGTAATGCTGAGATACAAGCAGCTGTGAAGAACCCAGGTTAGCTCATGTTGAAATCCATGAAAGGTTGGATGGTGGTTTGGTGGTAGGGGGGATGGTGCTATTTTGTTGGGGTTTTTTAATGGAATGGGTGTGTATCATTAAAGTACCAATGCAGTGCTCCTTGATGGAGCAAGACATTGGTAGTAGATGTTAGAGCATAACTGCAGTGGAAACATCAAGATCTCTTTATCAAGGTAAGTGACACAGAAAAGCAAAAAGCCCACGGGAAGCAGTTGAGCTTTTTTTTTAAATCTGTTTATTGGTTCTCTTCAGTGAGGAGTATCACTCTGGATGATTTACTGGATGGTCTTTGTTATATAGATCCACTAAACATAACCTTTTTTGCTAAAGTTTTGTTACAGGTTTCACAAACACAACTCTGACAAATCAGCAAACAGTTTTCTAAATCATTACATTGTTTTTCAAAATTATCCTGCCATGAGATGTTTTGAGTAGGTTACCAAGAGCAGAAGTGCCACCTTGTCACTTCTATAGATATAGACTCACACAATCACTAACTAAATGGATGAGTCTGGCAAAGTTCTTAGATTAGCACTTGACTAGTACATATTTAACATGGCTGGCTCAAACATGTTTCATTACTATGCATCGGTGCAAATGGCTTCAGTTGTTGGCTAAAGTCTGCTTTTGAAAGTGTCTGTTGTGAAAGTTGACATGTGGCATAATCCCTCAAGAGACTGACAGCTAGCAGTGCCTTCCTTTTTCTCCTTGATCAGAAAGTCTCTTAAAAGCTTGGGCTTTTCCTGGTACTTACACCTGCAGCAGAAGTTCTTATACAAAGTTAAATATCTTAAATCTTTATGAAAAGTTGAGTGAATTTTGTAGCCTCTCCAGCAAATGTGCTTATCTATGTCAGGCTCTAGTAAAACTAACTTTTTACCCCCACAATGTGTATACGTGCACACAAGCAAGTGTAATGTGTACTACAAAAAAACTGCAACTGCCATCCAGAAGGAAGAATTTTGTACTGGTGGGTTTTTGTTTCCCTTATTAACTGGGAGAACAGAGCAAAGTCTTATGTATATGCTTCAAAATACTCCCTGCAGGAGTGCAGCAGCTATTTGCCTTGGCTCTGAAGTGGCAGCAGTAGGGCCAGGTGAAATGATTTTTCTAATTGGCACCTGGTTGCAGAGCACCTTGGGATTGTTGATGAAGTAGCTACTGCAGAAGTGCTGGTGGGTACATGGTGATAGCCTCTCTGAGACAATTCTGGCAGGCAAGCTGAGCAGCAGACATTTCAACTCTATTGGTTTTCAGTGTGTGAGTATTAAGGTTAATCTTTTGTGACTATCTAGGGGAATCTCATCAGATTGGCCAACAGTTCCCTTTGCCTCCTAGTGAGGTAGGCAAGGGACTGTAAATATTAAAACTCAGTGTTGTAGGCAGAGTCATTTGGCTATGCCACTTCCTACAATCCCTTTTCTGATGCTTGTTTCAAATGGGTTTTGCAGCTAAGGAAAGGATTGAAATTGTGTCTCTGAATCTTAAAACTTATTTTGAGATACTGAGTTGGTTTCTGGCTTTTCTCCATGTTCTTTAAACATGTAGAAAGTTATCATTAAAAACCTTGTACTGTTAATAGTCACTCCAGTTGGTCTACTCTTAGACTCTGTGAGATGATAACTGCATTAACCACATCCGTGCATTCCAGGCAAAGTCTGATGGTCTGTGCCTCTTAGGAGGCAGTCTTTCCTGTTCTTGCGGGACTTTGTAGTTGCACGGAACAGAAACTGTGGGGTAGAATTGACTTCTTTCTTACCACCTCCAAATAACTGTGACCTGAGGGAAGATTTTCTTGGAATGAGGGACGGCAGCCTGTTACCTGCCATTTGTAAGGACAGAAAAGGAGTAATCTGTCTCTCCAGGAGACTCCCAAGCATAGGGGAGTCTCAGAAAAGGAACAGGAAGGCATTGCTTACATTCTTAAGGAACAGGTTAGGAGGGAAGAGCTGGGACTGGGCCAGGTGGGCAGTAATTCAAGGAAGAATGGGGCAGGGCATATGAGATGGAGATAAAAGTGCTTGCATGAGAATGAAAGATGGCTGCTGGTGGTGGTCTTGCTCTTTGTGCCTGCCTGTGAGGGAGGACAGGGAAATGCAGAAGGTTCCTGAGAGCTGCAGAAGTAATGAGGAGCAGCTGTGCACCAGCTGCTTCTGAGATCAGAGGGCTGTGTGCTTACTAAGAAGTTTTGCCTCTGGGGAGTGTTTTATCTACCATACGGAAGGAGAGCCAAATATCTGAATGCAGACACAAGCCTGGGGAAGGCTGGTTGAATGAGGAGTAGAGCTTTTTGTCCTGGTATGCAGACAGGCAGTGATAACACACTCCTTGAGAGCTAAGGAACTGCTCTACTTTAACCTCAGCCCTCCTGCTGAGCTGTGCATGCCTGCCTCTCAGCTGGTGGAAGGCAAAGGAATTCAGTTGAGGGATTACTGGGAGGTAGCAGAACCAGCTGGGAATGGGCTACGAAGAACGTGCTTTTCCAGCCACCTGTTAAGTGGTTGTGTGTTTTTAGAAGTTGGTGAGTGTGGAACAAACAGAGAACCAACATTTGTGTTTGCAGAGGGGAGATAAAAGCTGAGGCGGTTGGATAGTGTGTTACGCAAAATCACTAAATAAAATGCATTTTCAAATGCTGACTGAGTCAGGAACCTGTCTGGAGAAATAAAGGTACATGTCCCATAAAGGCAAGAGGGGGAGCCTAACAGTGGTGGTAGTATTTTGTGTCTACTACTGCCTGTTTGCATGGGGGACTTGAGAAAGTCAGATAGATGAGGAAAAAGAACTTTCACTATCAGAATAGATTCTGGAGATGCTGTGGTTGCAGAGGGAAAGCAGTAGGATTTGCACAGCTTAGATTTGGGGAATGCAGGAGAGACAAGAATGAGTGCTAATCTAAGGCTGCTTGGAAGGGAGGTGACAGAGCTTCATGGAAGGAGAAGCATAAGCTTTGTTTTGGATCCATCATGTTGTCATTTACTGAGGAATATCCATTTTGGAGAGGCTAGCCAAGATGTAGAGTTGGATGTCTGGAAAAAAGCCGACAAGAAAACAGGTTCATATGACATCAGCCTGGGGATTGCATAGCAATCATGAGAGTGCTCAATGATGGGCTATAGTGTTTTTGTTGGAAATAATTTGTATGCTTTTATTATTCTTTGCCACAGGCTGCGTGGTTTTGGTTTATCTGAGAGTGTTACAGAAACACCAGAGATTTAAAACTGTCTTGAGGTAGGTTGGATGATGTTGATATTGCTGGTAATTGCAATTAGCAGTTTGGCTGCTCACCTAATGCTGCAGAGCCAGTGTGAGGTTTTGTACAAGTAGAGAGCACCCTTGCTACAACTACTGCAAAAATGAATAGGTAGGGCAGACAAAAAGTGAAAAGGAAAATAAGAGCTTAGAGCATTGTTTCCCCTCCCCCGCCCCTCTCTCGTGGCAAGTGATAGCAAATCAGTGGCTGATCTGGGATTAGAATGAAGGCTTTTTGTAGCCAGTCCAGTACTCTAGCTACTAGATTATTATTCCTCTGATGCTGGTAATTAAAGATTAATGCATGCAATTGACTGTCTTTAATATTTCTTTATGTGGTAGCTATACTGGAACATGCTTGAACTGCTTCTCTTAATCATTTTTATTCACAGAATAGAGCTTAATGAGCAAAAACGGAGACTAATTCAATTAATGGGCTATTTAACCACCTTCTGAATACTAACAAGAGTTTCAGAAATATCTACTATAAACTGAGGCAGTTACTCGTAAATGAGTGGCCTCTGTTTTGTCCTTAGAAGTAGCTTCTAGCACTGCTTGAAAATACTTGCTTTAATGTGGCCATATATAGGAGCAAAAATGGGGAGCTAAAGTGACTTGAGTAATTTTCAGCTTTCCAGAGAGCAAGGTGCGGGTGCCTTGGCAATGCCAAGTTTCTTTTAAGTGGCTTTATTAGAACAGTTTAGTAGGATTTGGTTATTAGAATATGGGTATATTTTACTTGGGTAATTGAAGAATATCCTAAGCAGTGGTATATGCTGTTCTGTCCCCTCTCTGTCAAATAATATTTGAATACCAATACTTATATTTATTGCTGTTAATGTCTTAAGCCAGATGCCTAGGTTCATTAGATACCAACAGTCTTTCTGCATCACATGCCAGTAGGATTGCAGAGGATGCAAAGGGACTAGATTTTATTATATGTTTGCA